GTGTTGGAGACTAAGCTGTAAAAGATGAAATAGAAATATGAGGAGGTGTCAATAGGGTTTGGGGCAAGCAATATGCACGATAGAGATGACCTTGATGAAGGGAGAGATGTACATGCAGTAAGAAGATATCTCCAACACCATGCCTCATTAGGCACTAAGGAGATACATGCCATATGTACTTTCACTACTTCTTCCTATGGGTGAACTCCTACCCTTTGTCATGATCATGCTCACATATCTCATATATCACATATTCATATCTAATTCTTATTAATTTCATATAAGACTTTCACAATCTCAAAGTTTGGAAATCATTTCACATGCACAAAATCATAGTTCGCAATATGCAATGCTTTCAAATCACAAGTAGAAAACTTACATGTATACTCACAAACAGTTAAGTAATATAATCAAATAGTGTAAATTATTCCGACCCTTTGTCACAAAAGGGTTATCGTGGTTCAACGTAGCTCCACATGTTCTCTACACACAATAAGGCTCGAGCACACCAATCTACTCAATTTAGCGATAATTGTCAATTATCACTCCAAAAACCCTGAATTCACTAGGTTCTAAGTACTCATAACTTTTAAATTTCTTATCTAATGACATCAATATTTCTAAAACATTTTAATAATCCTATTTAGCATTCAAACATCCCAAAATCATCAACCAACTATCTATATTGTTCTAAAACCTCAAATTCTCACATTGGGTTCGTTTAAGCCTTAGTTAAAAATTTCAAATCACCATAAAACCTATAAACCTAGGGTTAGAGGCTTGACTTAACTCTCTAAGACCTTTATTAAGTTAATGAGTTCAGTCATTACCCAAGAAAAACTAAATCCAAGCCTCAACCATACCTAAAAGCATCAAAATTTGCATAAAAGGGAGAGGAAGATGTGAGGAAAGCTTACCCAAGGTGTAGCAAGCTCAAAGTACCTCCAATGTGATGTTAGAAGCAAGCCCCAACAGCCCCAGCCTGTCACCATCATTGCTCTCATTTTCTTTCCTTAGTCTCTTTTAATTTTTAATTTGTTTTGCAACTGATAAATGCAGACTTTTGCACATACACCACGGTGTATGGCACAGAGAATCCCAAACTTGTTTTGGGTCTCTCTCCGTGTCATAGCTTACTCAATCTCCAATCTAGCCCTCTTCTAAGGTTGTCCAATGATCCATTAACTACATTAGCCTCCCAAAAACACCATCAAACAATAATTTATCTAATTTGTCCAAAATACCCTTATAAATACTAAAAATTCCCAAGATAAAAAGTCTAGGATGTTACACCATGAGTCATACTAAATCATTGCGGATCCTTAAAAGCCTTAATCAAGATATCGTAAATGATACTAAGTCATCTCAGGTATCAAGCTTTGCATTAAAATTTCCTTATTACATTATTTTCTAGAAAATTATTATTGAAAATTCCTTTTATTTCTTTAGGGTTTGTCATAGATGATATTAAATCACCGTATGCACTTAAAATATCAACTAACAAGCTGTAAGTGAAACTAAATCACCACAAATTCTAATGCTAGTTATTTTTATCTTACCTAATGGAAAAAACTTATTTAAAAAACAAATAAAACAATATAACCCAAAATAAAACTTCTTTTATAAAATAAAAAAATTCAATAATTTAAAAATTTAATTAATAATACTTTTAAGCTATGTGGACTTTGATATCCATCATAAGGTATGTAAGCTTTAGGTTTTGACCATAGATCAAGTCATGCCATATAAATAAATGATTGTTTTCATTAATTTTTTTATTTTTTCTAATTTTTATTTTTGCATGTGATTATAAAGGGTAAACAAGATATGATTAAAAGGTCAATTTCATTTCATGCAATCAACTTAGGATAACCGTTCCTATAAACTAGTGTCATGGGGTGCCTAATATCTTCTCCACATACAATCAACTTCCAAACCCTTTCCACAAATCATTCTTTTCATTATATAGTTTTCTAAAGTTTCCTTAAAAACTTTAATGGTGACTCCTATTTTCTTACATTCATTGACATTCCCTCTCCAGGAAAGTTATAGTTTGGATGCAAAAACAATATTCCTCATCCACACATAGTACTCTCTAAACATAATTGCGCATACTATCCAATTAAATAGTTCAAGTGACATGTATGCATGATTAATAACTTTACCTTATACCTTACTCTGTAAAATCCACAGGTAAACAAGTGAAGTAACCCTTTCTAATTTATCTTGAATTCCAAAATTTAGGCAATCATAGGCTAAGCCATTTATATTACCAAGTTAAAAATTAGTAGAAATAGGATTTTAAGTTTTCACAGCTCAAACTTACGCAATCATTATTTAATAAATATCAAATTAGAGTAAATATTGTTTTAGAAGTATGAGAAACTTTAAGGGAGTGAAATGGTTTCAAATCAGTTGAAAAATACTAAAAAGTGAAAAGCAAGGTGATGTGCCACCTGCCATGGCAAGTTGCATGTATCAGACAGCATTTAGTTGTCAAATGACAACAACTTGGGACAATTTCTGACGTGCCCTATTCTCCATCCAACATTTGAATGATACAGAAAGCTCTTTTCATAAATTAACTGATGGCATGAGTTTTACTTTCAAATTATATCACACGAAAAAGATAAACACCCAAAGAATATTTTCACAACTCAAGGGTGTTCAAAATCGCACTTATGCACCAAAAGCTACATCTAACTCCATAACACATCCAATTAACTTAGGACTACCTATACAAAACGCGCGCGCGCGCACACATATGTAACATAATCTCAATATTACTCAATTTTCACTCCTTAACCTCTTTAATACCAAAAATAGAGAAGGGGGATGTTTTAGCATCACATAAATCATTAAATTTTAATTTCAACAACAAAACAATATCTTTTATACTTGCACTAGTATTTTGACCCTGTTAACACATAATCAACTTACATACAATATTCTAGGGCCCAAAATATATTCCAAAATCATTTCAAATGTGGGGCACAGTTGCCTAGTTATATTTAAATTATTTTTTTAAAGAAATTTACATCACATTATTTCTCATAATTAATAAGTTTAAATAGATGTAATATTATAAAAATGTAATTAATACCACCACTAAGTGCTTTAAGACCACCAATTCTGTCTAAAAGGTGCCTTACAATAAGGATTAAAGGAATTACATTTTTCAATTATAATGTCATTAAATATCCTATATTTGTCTTAATAATAACAAATAAAATTTTAATACATTATTTTTTTTAAAATTAATAATGAAGTAGGGGTATGATGAAAAAAAATTAAAAAATTACCTAATGCTATATTAGTGACGAACCCAGAAAAACTACCCAATGATTTGTTATAAAATACATTTTTAAATATTCATTGAATTAAATTGGAAGTACAAATTTGTTAAAAATTACTAAAGAATAAAGTATAAAATATAATGATGCATTAAATAAATCTGTTTAATATAAATAAAATTTTATTAAATAAAATTTATTTACTCTTGCGTATTACAGGAATTTTCTGTGATAAAATTTTTTATTTAAACAAATAAATTATTTTTAAATTATTATTCCCTCCATTCTCAACTAGCATCATTTGAAATTATAACACATAGGTTCAATTTGAGTCAAATAATTTTTAGAGGGTAAATGAAACTTTGAAGAAGGCGATGAATTTATTTTTTGGATTAAATGATAAATTATTCTCTAAATTATAGGTCTAAGAGCGTCAAGAATTATAAATTTATTTTTGATGTAATGTTTCTCTTTGACTTTTAAAAATAATATAATATGGCTCATATAGTTAATGAATGTTAATTTTAATAATTAATTAACCAAAAAATGACTAAAAAAATTATAATAAATGACTCAAAATTGTAAATATTGATATAAAAAATTACAGAAAAGGACCCAAAAAATTTTGTTGGTCTTTGTATCTTTTGAGATTTTTTTTTATTAACTTCTGATAAAGTTAACTTTGTTAATGATAAGGTTATATTATATTGTTTTTAAAAATTTAAAATATAACACTAAAAAGAATTTAATGTCCAAGATGCTCATAAACCTATAATTTAAAAGCTAATTTATCAATTTACCTTTTTTTTTCCATTAACAGGGGCCAATTGAAATTTGTTGGGAGGCAAAAAAAATATTTTAGGTTATTTTGTACAATTTTATCTTTTCTTGCCCTTAGCAAGCACCTACATTCGGCGCTATCAAGCTAACAACAATCTTGGCCTTCCATTTTACTCTAAAATGATCTCCACCGTTCATTTAAATTAATTTTTAAACATTTTAATATTATATTTATCAATATATCTTATATAATAAAATAGTTATAGCCGATAGGACAGCATGGCTCAATAGCAGCTCTTCACTCAGAATACTGTTCATAACAAAAGTTGTGGCTTCATCTACAGTACCAACTTCATCGTTGGCCTTCGTGCCGCCTGAAAGCCTTGCATCTCATTCCTTCTCCAGTGCTGCGTTCTCTCTCTCACTCTTGCATATCCAACCCTTATATGAGAGCAATGGCACGTGAGTTGAGGTTGTTTTGCTTCTATTGTTATTGGAAACTGTAGATTATGATCCTGTGCTTCTGTTGTTATTAGAGACTGGAGATTAGATCCTGTTTTAAGATGCCTTCACTTATAAGGGGTAGCAAGTACGTGTTTGATTTTTTAAGAGAAGAAAATTGCTGGTTTCCTACTGATGAGGACAAGTTGAGGTTAATATCTCCTTTATTCCTTCATGTATCATTTTAGTTACTTCTATATTTCCATAGGTGAAGCATAACATCTTACTTTCTGAAAAAGTTGTTCAGATAGATCATAAATAAAGTGTCAGCCTCTTCATTGCCTTCGCTTCACATCATAGGCTGACAAGGATGAGCATTTCTTGTTTTATAAGTTATGGTTTGCCATTTAGTATGTAGTGAAAGCGCTTTAAATATACCCTATTGGTTCCTCCCATTTTGCAGTGTCTCATCTTTCATTCCTTTGAAAGTGTTTCTGTTTCTCTTTCGTCTTCCTCTTCTCATATTAATGGTAGCTTTCTTCTCCATTTGAACGATGGATCATCATCTCTCCAGACTTGATGATCTTGCACATCCGCTGGAGACCTGGAAGGTTTTGGTCAAGGTAGACAAGGTATTTCCCAGGACTGACTTTGATGTGTACGAATGTGACTGTGGATACCCCAAGAAGATGCTTTCAGTTGATATGGTTATCTTCGATGAGCACATAAGTTTATATGTTCATGTATTGCTTAAACTTTTTTTGAATCTCATTTCTATTTATCTCCTTGATACTTTGTAGGGTGCGATGATGCTATTAAGGGTTGTTGATGATCAAATGATTGATCGCTTCTCCAATATGCTGAAGGAGAAGAGGACATATATGAGCCAGTTTTTCAGAGTGGCAATGGGGGGTGAAGCTATCCATGACCATTTCCATATCAAGCTTATGCCTAGCACCTTTTTTTATGCTAACCACCATTCATCCTGCTTGATTTGTTGGTTTCGTTTTAGACTTTGTATACACATTTTTTCTCTTTATTTCAATTTTTTTAAAGATTTCTGTGGCCTTTTGGTTAGCATTGGAGATCTTGACTTTTTTAAGGTCCAGGCATGCACACAAGAAAGCCGGAATTTGTGGTTCAAGATATCGAGTTGAGTTCACTTAACCTTCCCTACTATTTCAATTATGTTAGTTTCATTCATTTTGAGAATCATATTATATCTGTAATTTTGAAATAAATTTCTGTTCGCTTCCCTAGGAGGAATAAGGTCACTTGTGTGCTTTTTGGCAATTCAGCTGAGAAGGCCTTCACAGAATACCAGCCAGTGTCTAGCATGCGTAAGCTGGTTGTTGTAGTCCAGTATGCCAGGATTAAGCGATAGCAAGGTTGTTTTCAAGTTAAACTTTGAAATTACTTTAATTATATGCTCATTTCATTTCACTTTCAAGAATGCACGTTATGATTATTACTAACTGAATATGTCGACTTTCAGGAGAGTCTTCATTAAGCAGCTATGTCTCTGCCACTAGGATCTTCTGGGAACCCACGTTTTTATGATATCCTTCATCTTAGGAGGCAGCTGCTTCAACTCCATGGGAGGCATCTAGTGAAGAAGCTTCCTTGCATTAGGATTATGTAGGAGCAGTTGTTTTCTTTATGGCAAATGAATGTATTTTGATGGCTAGGTTATTTTGGATAAGTTGTTTTTAAATGTTTATTTTGATGGTCTTCATCAATGGCTTACGTGCCAGAAACTTGTCTGTAATGAACCGTTGCCCTTGTTGTTTCAAAACTCTATCTGATTATGCAATATAACTTAGTTTATCAAAGTTGGCTATGTTTGATGACTAATACATATTCTCTCTTTAATTTTCTAGCCGTCAGTGAAACAAAAAGATCATTAGCATCTTACAGTGCTTGACTTAATATATTGATCTAATCCTTTATGAGCATTTATTACCTACCTTCTATGCGTCATTGTTTTATTTGCTATGAGGTAAAAAAATTCTAACAAAAGGAGTGAATTAGAAAATCATTCAAGAAAGGAGTTTCAGAATAAAGATGCATAGAAAAATTTAAACAGTGGTATTGGATGCTATGGGCTCATGTTCCTCTCATTTGTTTTTTATTATTGGAAGTAAATGGTATTCTACAATCTTTTTCACAATTGGATTTGAAGTTTCAGAATTTTGTTCCTTGTACTCAATCACTCAGGAATATTAACACTTTCCCAAATATATTCAGTAAAAAATATGGACTGAAACTAATTTGGCATCAGTGACTTTGGCATGCAAGATTTACAGGGAGTAGAAATATAAATCCTGTGGAAATGTTGCCTTCATGCCCTTTATATTTTACCCGAATATAAAGAGCATATAAATCATGCCATGCTTTGGCTTCAGCGACTCTGGCCTGCAAGATTTGAGAAGACCAGAAATCCTAGAGTGCAACCGTGTGGTTTTGGAAGTACTTTTCAACTTTTCAACTTCCTTGCTGTAAGGTAGTTATGCTGATTGTCATCAGAATATTATCCCCTGGTTTCTGTATCTATCCTCTAGGTTGAGTCTTCTCACGTTGAATTCAACCAAAAGTGTGGGTTCTTCAAAGAGTTGTAAAGTTTTTTCTGATTTTGATGCTAAGACATGAATCCCAGCCGTGTGGGTTCTGAAAAAATTTTACACTTTTACTTTTGTGTTGTGTCAGTAGCTGCTCCTTCATATTACAATTGTTTGCTGGTTTTCTTTGTTATCCTTTGTCGTATTGTTCTTTTGCGTAATGTTACCACGAAGTCCTCAAAGCTTTACATTGTAGTTGGTAATGTACAGTGTTTGTTCTCTTGGACACTTTACTTCCGTCTGAATACTTGTATGCTAGGTGGTCCATGGTTACTTTTCAGTCTTCTCTTCTTTTATACGGTGAAATCATTCTTCAGATAATTTTTGTCCAATGGTTTATTATTTTTACCTATGGTTTAATTTGTTACAAATTGTAGTTGATATTTTAAAGATTTCTCAATATTGACTTTGATTCCTTACACTGTAGATGCGGCTAAGTGCAAGTTCTTGTCCGTCTTTTTCTGCCGTGAAGATCTCATGACAGTAACATTTGCGTCAAGTAAAAAGTTTTCTCAATTTTTTTTAGGGTACTCTTTAGCTGACCCTAAAAGCTTCGAATATAGTTCAGAGATCTTACACTGTGTATTGCAGGGATCTTTTGAGCTTTTCTTTAAATGTATTTTATTTTGTCACAAACCGATTGGGCCTGAAATTAAATTCATTATCACTTGATTTTAAAGAATGATACTCTCGCTGAACTATTTAATGCTTCTAATTAATAGCCATACATGCCCTGATTTGTATTCTAATCTATCTAATCACACATAACACTATTCGAGGAATCAGTTACAAAACCATGCAATGTGACAATCATGACACGATCTAATCAATATATCATATATAACAAAATAGTTCAAGCCACAAGCCACAGCTGAAAAATGGCTTCTCACTTATTTTTACTGTTCAAAGAGCTGTTTTCACTGTTCATGAAGCCGTGGCTCAAGAAAAATTCGGCTTCAGCGTTGAGCTGCGTGCCGTAATTTCAGCAAAAGAAAAGGCTAATACATCTCGAGCTCCGTCTAGATGAGAACCCGTCACGTTTCCCTCTGCTTCACTCCTGTTTATTTCGTTCATTCTAGGAAACCCTCAACCTCTCTCCTCTTCCAAAATCAAGTCTCTTCCCTTTCACCGTTGAAGCCTCACGGGTCCCCCTGCCCTCTGCAAATCGAGCTTCTCGCCCTCCTCCATTCTCGCCATTTGTGTTGATTGCCGTCGCCTCTAATCTAAGGTGGCTGAGCTTCATCCTCTCCTTTCAATGATTTTCTTTTCCTCTTTCAAGTGCTTAGTTTGTTGCAGGCATGAATGGAGGTGTGCTTGCCCCGTTCATGGGGGGATCCGATTTGTTTCCATTCTTATCCCGAGATGAGTTCAGCCAGACTTGTGATTTGTTGAAAGGTCGGCGGGTGTTTTGCCAATGAGGTTTTGCATTAAAGTTTGATGATTTATTAAATTATGATTACTGAAATTAAATTTGGGTGTGTTAGTTGACTCAGGTAGGTCTGGGAAAGTTTCAGAACCCATATATTTTCTGCCTTCCTTTTTTGATTTAAAACTTATCATTTCGTATGGATGGTTCTGTGTGATTTCGTTTTTGATTTCAGCTGAGCCATTCATCTTTTTTGATTTACTTCTTGGCAAAGTGTATGAGAAAGAAAATCTCAAAGAGCTTTCGGAGCGATGGTTGCACTGGGTGGAAGAATGCAAATCCTCAGTTATGTTCTTTATCAATATTTCTTCCTTTCATCTTTCTTAAGCTTTTTCATCTACAACAGCATGCTTATCCTTTTTCTTAAATCAGTATCCTTCCCTTTTTTTCAGGTTCATTAATTTTTTTTTTTTGAATGTTTATGGTTTTTGGCATATTTTTGTTGATTGCTTGAGTCTGTAATTTTTGGTGATCCGAGCTGTTTTCTACCTCTTTTCCTCCCTCTCCCTTTTAATTTCTAATAATAATAATAATAATAATAATAATAATAAATTATTATTATTTAAATTACTATTATTGTAATATTGTTATTATTATTAACCAATGGCTATAAAAGGGTGAGTTGGGGAACGTTTGTGATCCCGTTGCAGCTTCATGCTGCCCAACAGCTATAGTTTAGTTGATGGAGATTTTTGCGGCAATTTTCCTATCTGTATTTTCCAAATTTATGGGATTGATAGTGTTCTATGAACAAAATAACGTATGATAGTCCATGTCCATTAGATCACAAACTATTAGAGAGTAGAGTATAGAGTATAGCAGAAAAAATGAAGAGACAATTGGGGAGGGGTAGAAGTGAGGGGAATGATGAGGTGCCCTACGCATATCTATCTTGTCACATGGTATATGAACATGTGAGATGAGTAGATAGGAGAGAGAAATGTCATTATCCATGTTTAAAAGCTTGGAGATAGAATGAGAGGAGGGGAAAAAAATCATTTACATAAGGAGAGCCTTTAGCCTTTCAAATGCTAGAAAATTTTGTTTGTTTTCTAGATTTTATAAAGTTTAGAGCTTAGGTGATAGTTTTTGTATAACTCTGAGGGTCATTATGTTGGGTGAGTCTGTGTTAAGTTCGCCCCTCCTCCCTTCTTAATAATGCATTGAAAGCTGAAAGCACAACATTTAACTCTGAGGGTCATTTTTGTCCAAGCCTATTTTTTGGTATCGTGACAAATAATATCTATTTACATAGACTGGATGCAGATACACTTTAATATGTTTATTTTTCTTTCTCATGGTACTATTAATATGTAATTTAATTTTTAGATTATTTATGAAGACTGTATTTCCCCACCCACATCTTCCTCATTGCCTTCCCGCTGAATCTGTACAGCGTAGGTTAAATCTGTTTTCTTTCCTGTCTATATGCAAAGCTACAGGAGTCTGAATTTTAGAAGATATCATTCTCATGATTCATTTATTGTGTTGCAGTAGGTTAACCAGCCGTGTGGGGTTTTCATGAATTATTTATTTTTCGACTTTTACCTACTGTCATATCTTTACCCCTTTGTGTGCATGTTGACCAGTGGATTTTTGTAAGTTTTGTAGCCTTTTTATAAGTTTTACATGCCTTTTAAGGTCGGAGACGTGGGCAAAGCATGCTCTGTTTTTGCTTTTTGCATTTTGATTCTGTCAGTGCATTTTTTAAGGAAATCATTGACTATTGGTTAACTACCTTGCTTTATCTTTGTCTTATTGGTATTACAAATGATATATGATGTGGAAACATCCTCAACAGTACATCAGACGTGTGAGCTTTCTCGTCTTCCCTTTTTCCTGCCCAGTCAATGCCTAAGAAGTCAAGTTAAAATGTGAGGCTGGTGCAGTCTCTTTCTTTGTGTGAAGTGATTCCAGAGATCGTGGAAGTGTGATTTGTGCAGTCCACTCATGATCTTTTCTTATTGATGTTTCTTCCTGCCACTAGCTGCATCTTTTTCATAGTGTGCTTCTCAAAAAACATATCATGATATTAGTTCTAGAAGATCTTTCTCTGTTACTTTTTATGAGAAACCTGTGTTTGTTACATATTCGTCAGTCTGAGATTAAATGTGATAAACAAAAACTGGTTGTTACTTTTTAATGATTTGACCTTTTAGGTTTTAAGCCATGGTTCTGTTCTATTTAATCATTGGAGGATATAATTTTTGTTAATCTCATATTGATTATATTAATTGCTATATCCTAAAATTATATTAATTGATTATATTTTCAAGCGAAATCTTTTGGATAAAGGAATTTGGGATTCTCAAGGAAGTGCTAACATTATATGGGAGGATATGGCTAAAAAGATACGGGAGGTTGCAAAAGTAGTTTTGGGAGAATCGAAAGGTTCTGGTCCGAGAGATAAGGAGTCTTGGTGGTGGAATAATAGTGTACAGGACAAAATCAAGTATAAGAAGAACTGTTTTAAAGCCATACATTTGTGTAACAATGAGGAAAATTGGGAGAGGTACCGTATGGCTAAGAAGGAAACTAAGAGAGCTGTGGGTGAAGCTCGTTCTAAAGCTTTTGAAGAATTTTATAAGAACCTTGAGACGAAGGAAGGAGAGCAAAATATTTATAAGATTGCCAAGAGTAGGGAAAG